ACTGGGCCATTGGGATCCGCGCGGACGTGGGCGGGGATGAGCGGGTCGTCGCGTGCGAGCGGGTAGGACAGGAAGAGGCAGGCGGACAGCGGGTTCGATTCGTAGGGGTAGACGAGGTAGAGGAGCACGATTGTGAGGCCGAGGATGAGCGGGAGCAGCCAGGTATGGCGGATGCATTGGCGCTTGAATTTGGAGAGGTAGCGGCGTGTTGTTCGTCGTTTGGAGCGGCGGGCGGATTTCTCTGGTTTCTACAGGGTCTTGTCAGCGCGTGCCCTGCATACCCTGGATGAGGGTCAAAAAAGCACTCACCGAGTCCATGCTCGTCGGGCTGTTCAGCGGCGGGGTGCTCGTGCGGTGTGTAGCCAACGCTGGGACGTCGACATCGCCAGGTACATCAGATCCAAGCGCACTAGACTTTCTTCTCCGCCTGGCTGCGCCGTTTGTTGCTGTATTGTGTGGCAGTGCGCCGTTGAGGGGAGGAAACGGTTCCGTCATTGTGAGGTTGAGGAGAAGCGGAACGCGGAAGACGGGTCGGTAGTCGCAATACCTTGTCTGTTGTCAAGGAGAAACAAAACACCTCCCAGACGACGTAGAAGAAGCTCCGAAGAAGAGCCTGCAGCAGAAGATATAAAGCGGCTGAGATATAAAAGCGGATGCGTTGCTTCTCCTTTCTCTGGCTTTCCCGAGGCTCGCCGCAAGTCAGGTCTCGCTGGCTCGACGTCCCAAGCAATTTCCGACCGGTGGAGTGGAGCCCTTGGCTTTCCGTAGCGCGTCGATCTGCTGTGAGCGAATGCCAGGGGTACGTCTTATGTCAGCGGCGTACTCGCTTAAAGCTACTGTTTAGAAATGCTGGAGAACCAATGCGACGTGAGTGATGATGCGGATGCGGAATGCTTTTTGGACCCTGATGGAGGTACGGCTCGGGTCCCTTCCGAAATCTGACAGAAAGACAGCAGGAGCGTGCGTCACAAGTGTCGGAACAAGCAATCGAGGCGGGTGATGGGTCGGGGAGCTACCCGGACCAAAAGCAACGGTGATATGGAAGCTTATATTGCGATCATTGGTGTCTGCATCTACATGGCTGCTGTCACCTACTAATACAGCTAGACTACATGTCTTCTACCGATAAACATACATATGCGCTATGCTGCAGGTCTTAGTCTGCTCCCTGCATGACCATGTGCCTGAGTAGGCGCACCATTTGCTTTTATCTCCAATCTCTTCCCCGCAATCTCAAGATTCTTCTTCAATTCAGTCGTCGGTGTGCCAACGCTGCTCGCGGTCACTGTGCTGTCCATGCTTCCTTTTCTGGACAGTACCCCATCCTGCCGCAACAAGCCTTTGATGCCGCCCGCCTTCCGCGCTGGAAGCTCGCCTTTTCCAGCGGTAGCGACGTAAAGTAGGTACTTCAAGTTCGGTAGTGTGTGGCGAATGTCGACGGGGCGCAGACCGAGAGAGTTGGAAAGGATTTCTATGTTCTTGTTGAGGAGGAAGACGCCGTACTCGAAGCGATAACGGACGACGTTCTTCATGTAGAGAGGGTAAGTGCGTTGGGGGTTCTGATTGGCCTGCGTAACGGCGAGTGGGTCGTCAATGGTCGATGTCGAGCCGTGGGGCGATATTGGATACGGTAGTATGACGGAGAGATAGGGCGATAGTGAGTTGACGACTTGCGCGACGTATCCCAACGCTGCCGAAGTAACGTCTGGATTTACTTCGTCGAAATTGGAGTTCGGTAAGAGAAGGCCTCGTATCGTGAATGCGAGCGCTTTGCCCTGAACAGGCTCGATAGGGAAGATCCTGAGGAGATCTTCGCACACCCTTCGCCGTTGGCCAGTGATATCCTCAGCAGCTTTCTCAATGAGTTCCTTACTCTCGGTACACTTTGCTCGTTCTTCATCAAGCGCGGCCTCGGCTTTCGCTTGCAACTCCCGCCCCGCCTGCATCTTCTCTCGTCGATATTTGATGTTGGCTTGAAGCTCGTCCCGCCTTCTCCGCGCAGCCACCACTCTCCTCTTCTCAGCAGTAACAGCAGCCTGGACGGTCCGCAGACTTTCTTCCGTCTCGGGAACTGCCTCGACCGTGCAGATATCCTCCTTGTTCGCCGCAAGTATGCCCTCAATCTCGTCGGCGATCCGGTCCCGTGTAGTCAGCGCATCCTGGATGCAGTCGTCTAGTGTTGATAATCGCATCAGCGCATCGTATGACGAAGAAGTCAGGGCCTTCCCGTCTGGGTTGTTCTTCGGCGGTGCGAGAAGTTCAGGGCGCATTCGCTCCTCTACCGGCAGATCTGTAAAGCTGGTGTAGATTCCGTCCGTCATGTGGAAGAGTATGCAGTTCTGCGGTAGTGGGTGTCTGAAGCTTCCAAGCGTCCTGCCTATGAACTGCAGCGACCTGAACTGTACTGTGTAGTCCATGAGGTACTGCCAATCCTGCATCGTCTCGCTCTTCGCCCACACCCTGACAGTAAGTTTGTCGAGTCGCGTGACACCAGGACCACAGGGTCCGAGATCGAAAAACTTGAAGTTCGGGTTCATCGCCTTTTCTGCGACTTCGGAGATGTAGACCGGGTCGTCCTGGTCCTCGACATGCAAGCTGAAGAAGGTGTCCGCCATGCGCCCTGCGGTAATGTCTTCCAGCTTCTTCTGGCGGAACAGCGGAGTCGCATTGGTCCACTCCATAGTCGAGCGCCGTCGCAGTCCCCTTCCATATCCGGGTCTGGTCGCCGTGTTCGGGGTAGGTTCGCGCAAGCCGCCATTGCTGCGCCGCGTGTCTTCGGGAGAGGTGAGGTCGCTCGAAGATCGCGAATGCGCCAGGCCCCTGCTCTCTCTCATCGCCAGCGCCTTGGTGGGCGACTTGAGCGTACTCGGTATAGCTTCATCGTCGATGGTCCGCCCGCGCGACTTTGGGGGTGATAGACTGAGCGTGAGGTTGCGGATGGTGATGCCTTGGAGGTGTCTGAGCTTGCGATTCTGGCAGACTATCAGCGACTACAACCCTTGTATTCTCGACGCGCATACATATGCAAGCAGCCACGGGCGCTCACGTGGTGGAGACTTAGGCTCGGCTGCCTGGGACTCGCCGGCCATTACGTCGCTGATCTGGTGGGTAAGCAGGGGCGGGAGCGGAATATTCCAAAGAAACGTATCATTGAGGCATTGCTATAGGTTAGATCAAGCGCCCCAGCAATCGCAATGACGCAGCGCATAGTAAAGCTTGGAAGCTTGCTGGGTGAACGCGTGTTTGGGGTTCCCAGCTGTCGTATTGGATCAAGCGGACCTCCGCGGCCTGGCCCGTGCTTTTTGAGACTCGCAACTTTCATCCACCACCATCGTGGCGGCCATTGGCATCACCACCCCGCCGCCATGCCTCGAACTCTTGCCCGGCTGCGGTACAAGCCGCCACTACAGCCCATCTCTCTCGCCAGTCCCACCGCCGCCAGCCGCGTCACCCCCCAGCATGTTGCCAATATGCAAAAGCAGATCGCCGCATATGTTGAAAGGCAGTCGAATCCGCAGCACCTCCGCATTCAGACCGTCGTAAACGAAAAGGCAAGACGACAAGCGACTGCCCAGCACGTGATCTCGCCCGTCAAGCCCTACACTCTTCGTGACGTCGTGGACCCGGAAGGCACTGCCAAGCACGGCGAGATTATCTACATTTTCCGCAACACCAAGTCGAATCAGATTATCTACTCGCTGCAGGAACTGCTAGATGTATGAATAATGCACAACTTACCACTTTCAATGCTAATTTGTAGAACCACCACCTCGAACAACTTCCCTTCATTGGCAAGCACTCGAAGCCACCCGCCCTACGTCCAGACGAATGGGTTCCCCACTGCGTCCTCACCTTCCCTACCCCCAGCCAAGGCCAGAATGCTTTCCGAAAGCTACGCGAGTTCCGCAGACTGCACGAGACTGCCTGGGACAAGACGAACCCCGAGTTCAAGCGCATGGACAAGAAAACGAGGGTCAAGAAGATCATGGACCAGCGCGCCAACACCAGCGCCGACTTGGCCGAGGTGCTGCGGATACAAGAGGCGCATGGAGCCAAGACGGCGGAAGAGCAGGTAGAGCAGGAGAAGAAGGTATCAACTTTCCTCGACAAGCGGTGGGAGCAGATTGATGCTCTGGCGAATGCGGGGCTGGCCAAGGCAAAGCCCACGGATAACGTCAAGTGGCTGCAGGGCCAAATACGGTCCATGGACCACAAGCTGAAGATGAAGCACAACCAGAACGAGGCCGATCAGAAGAGCATAAAGGCTGCCAAAGAGAGCCTCGAGACCCGCCTGGGTAAGCTGCAGTACGCTCTGCGAAAAGCGGAGCAGTTCAAGAACCTACAGGAAGATCTCACCAAGAGAGCGGCGCCTGCCAACGAACTCGGCGCTGAGACGAAGTTGTATGAACTGAAACTCCAGGCCCGCACCCTGCAGGAGGCGCTCGACAACCCCGATCCTACACGTTCCGAGGCAGACCTGGAGTTGGATCGCGAAATCCTCGCGGGTCATCGCGCTGAAATCACCACCCTCGAGCAGGCTTTCGAAGCAAAAGCCCAGGCTGGATCCCGCGACCACTACATTGCCCGTTCCGTCCTGCCCAAAGCACTCAAGACGCCGCCCGTCAAGCCCTACACACTGGAAGGCGTGAGCGTGCGGTGGGCCGACATTCAAGACGCCCTCTACGCAGCCGGTAAATGGCCCGCAGCTATCGAACACGAGCCTCTGGAGATCAACAAGGCGCGCGGCGAGACGCTGATGCTTTCTGCCGAGGAGTACGAGGTTGAGAAGCAGAATGAGGTTGGAAGGATTATGGATACGCTGAATCTGAGGGAAGGCGAGTATCTGGAAGAGAAGGACGGGCTGAAGAGCTCGTTTAATAGCCCGTCACTTAAGAGTGGGATTGCCATGTCGATACCGCGGGATGCTTTTAAGAGCGCGACGGTGTAGGATGCGGTGTATAGTATGTAACAAAGTATCTTGTACATGTACCTTTGGATGCTCACACATGCCAGCCTGTCTGTGAGATGCTGACGTTCAAATACGTGCGATTGATGTAGTTACTGCTGCGAGCTCCGTGGCTTCCGTTGTGTATTCCCCACCACATCTCGAGAAAGGTCTTCTGGGGACGACTGCGTAGTTGTAACCGCCTGATATGGGGTGCGACCTGGTTGCAAGAAGAAATGTCCACAAGCCCTACGAGACCTTCAACCGCACCATGATCTTCGGCGTACGCGCCCTCTGGGAGCCTGGGCCTCTTGCTAGGCCTCTCTTCACCCTCTTCAGCCTTGTCTTCTTCTGTCGCTCCTCTCGCCTGTTTCTCCTCTTCTTGTCGCATCGCTGCTGCATCCATCTCTCTGAATCGCGTGTAGGGACTATACGGTACCATGCCAAACTGCGGAACGTGTGGCGGGGTCTCCACCTCGGCTCCCTTTGCGGTTCGTAACGCGGCCATGATCTTGTCTATGACCTTCAGCTTCCGCAGTGCACCAGTGTTGATGACGGCATCCGAGAAGCTGTTACCGCAGGTGAGGACTCAGACGCGAACAAGCTTTTCCTGTTCGATGCGGAGGGCGCGTCGCTCGGCTTGCAGCGCATCGGGGGGGTTCCACCAGGGCTGTAAAGTCAAGGTCAGTATATACATAGTATCGGTATTGTATGGAATCCACTTACCTCCACAAAGGTGACCTGCGACGCTTCGTTGATGGTCAGCCCAGTTCCACCAGCCTTGGCTTGGAAGCCGATGAGCGTCGTCGCTTGCGACACCGTCTGCCACTTGTGCAAGAGGTCATCCCTCTCCTTTGTGCTCAAGACACCAGAGTATAATGGGATTTCAACGGAGTAACGTCGGTGAAACGCTACGGCGATGATGATGAGAGCCTTGTAGAATCAACTCCAGATGGTTATCTTCTCCTCAGGGTGCTTTACCAAGATATTGTCATAAGGCTCAAGGAGCTTGTTGCACCGGGACGCGAAGATGTCCTTGCCGCTCATCTTGGCCATTCGATCGAGGAACCGTCGGTGCTTGATGACTTTCTTGTTCTTGCCCTTCTCCCTGCTCCTTCTCTTCTCTTTTGACGGTGTCGTACCTACGTATTGTTCATGTTTTCACTCTTCTTCTTCCTGCTATTAACAAAACTCAGTGACATTATCTATCACTCCACTAGAGGATAACAGAACATTCGATTACCCTCTACATACACGCCACTGCGCGTAGATAAGCATCCCGTGTTTCTGTTCAAAGAATACATTGCTATGTATACTCTCTTTAGTAAATAATAATATACCGCGTGAGCAGCAATAGCTACCTTAAAAACCCCTTCACGAGAACGCTAGTTACTTTGTCGACTTTAAAAGGCCTAGTGTCTGTAGTTTTATCAACGTGTATAAGATTATAGCCGCCAGCATAAAGTATAGGTTTCTTACGTAACGCGGTTTCTAGCAGTCGCGCGAAATTTCTAGGTACACACTTCGCTTAAGGCTATATAGATAGACTATATACCTTCTAGTAGTATTCTTTAGACTAATAGTATAAGTTGCTGTACTCTACCGCATGCAAGCGTTAAGTTATTAGATATTCTATAGAATTAGATAGTTCTTATACAATTGTTAATCTCTATATTATAATACTTCTCTATTTAGATTTATCTACTTTATTACTATACTCTTAGAATAATAATATTTATTTTCTATTACTAATTAAGGTACTTAAACTAAATATAACTAATTATCTAATACTTATAACTAAATTTTTTAACTTATTTTACTACTTTATAAAGTACTTATTATAATTTATAAAACTATAAGAATATAGTTTTAGACTACTAAACTAATATAATTTAAAAAAATAAAAATAACTAAGATAGTATTTTTAGTTTAAAATAATATATATATAGATAGTAAGATTTAAGCTTAATAAGCTCTAGTATATTCTACTAAGCTATATTAGGCTTTAAACTTTATACTATTTTTTCTTTTAAATTCTAGCTAAACTTCTAGCTAAATATATATATACTAGCTTTAAGTAGCTTATATATATAAATAAAAGCTTATTTATTAGCTAAAACTACTAATTTAGTTCTAGATAGCCTTTACTTTAGGCTATATATAAATTTCTAAAAGAAATACTAAGCTTTACTTTTCTAAAGTAGAGATTTAAACTCTAAATTTAAAAGAGATTTATCTTAGTTATTATATAAAAATATAGTCTTAAACTACTAAGCTAATATAACTTAAAAAAGTAAAAATAACTAAAATAGTATTTTTAGTTTAAGATAATATATATATAGATAGTAAGATCTAAGTCTAATAAGCTTTAGTATATTCTACTAAGTTATATTAAGCTTTAGACTTTATAAAAACTTTAATTAGTAAGCTTATATTAAAGTTCTTTTATATATTTTTAATAAATTTCTAGTTTTATTTATCTAAATTCTTTACTACTTTATTATCTTTTACTAAAAGATAAAGTTATAAAAGCTAGTAATATTAAAAAAAAAAAAGTATTATTAAAGTAAATACTTATAGTAGAAAACTTTAATAACTAGCTAGTAAATATAAACTATATTTAGAATATTAATTATAGCGCGCTAATTAAATACTAACTTAGTTAATATAATATAGTTTATATAGTATTACTTCTTTTTAAGTTTTTTATAAAACTTTTAGAAAAGCTTAAAAATTTAAAATATACTTAATTTAATTAAGTTATTATTTAAATTTACTAAAATTTAAACTATTTTAAGCTTTATATAAGTAAGTAAGCTACTAAAAAAAAAATAAAGCTACTTACTATTAAATATTTAGTATTAAAAAATATTATAAAGAATTTAAGTTAGAAACTAAGCTTAATAAAAAAGTATTAGTTAATAAAAAAAAAAAAAAAAAAAAAAAAAAAAAAAGAGAAGCTATATAAGTAAATATTTTTATAAAAGAATTTATATTATTTTAAAATTATAATATTTAGTTACTTTATTATAATAGTAAGCTATAATTATTTATTATAAGTTTTATAGTTATATATAAAGTATTATTATTACTTAATTACTATAAAAAGAGCTACTTTACTAAGTAATTTTTAAGTACTAAGTTATAAAGCTTAGCTTAAGCTTCTTTATACTACTAAAAATATATTATATACTTTTATTTTATAACTTTTTTAAAACTAGTAGAGAGCTATACTAGACTTAGATATCTTTTTAATAATACCTACTAGCTTATATATTTATTTTAATGCTTCTTTACAAGCTTATTTAAAAGAAGGTAGTTGCTTATCGCGATAGTCCTCGAATTACTGTCGAATGTTACTAGTGACCTTTTTCAGCAGTATCGTGAAGTCGCGAATCTACCGCGCGAAGATTAACGCTAATCTCGAAATGCCCATTAGCGGCTTGGTCGTTTACTACGTCATAGCGTTGAGTTCCCACGTGTCACCCCGCCCTAGCTTATCAATCACTGCCATTCCAGCCGGACCGAATTCGCACCACGAGCACCACTATGTCCACATCGAAACCGTTCCCAGCGCTAAGTGGCGGCTGCGTCTGCAATACCATCCGCTACAGGCTCCTTACAGCCCCGCTCTACTGCTATGCCTGCCACTGCATGGACTGCCAAAAGCAGACCGGTAGCGCGTTCTACCTGAGTCTGAACATCGAACTGTATAACATCCAGATTCTATCTCCAACAAAGCCTTCGTTCCTGAGCCGAGAGGTTAAACCGGGCCTTGTCGATCGGTATGCCGAGTGTCCGCAATGTCATGTCCAGCTTTGGGCCAGTAACCACCTGGGTGAGGCAGTCGTTGAGCTGAGAGTTGGCACATTGGACTTTCCGTCGCTCATGGAGCCGGATATACACATTCACGTGGAGAGTAAGCTGGACTGGGTGACTTTGCCGGAGGGCGCGAAGACGGCACAAAGAGGCCATGATTACAAGACGTCGTGGCCCAAGAGTAGTCTCAAGAGATTGGATATTTGCCTAAAGAGAGCGGAAGAGGTGAAGAAGAGGAGGGCTGCTGCGATGAGGGGGAGTGCCCATGGCACGAGTGAAGATGAGGAGACCACGGATGGGAACGTGGCGGTCGAAGGAAGTGGAGAGGGTGACAAGACGCCAACCGCAGGAGATCTTGGGGGCGACGAGGATGATGAGGCTGAGGAACAGAGATTTAGGGAGACCGAGAAGGCGTTGCTGGAGCGGTTGGAGCGGTTGAGCTTGAAGCTGCAGAACGAGGAAGGAACGAAAGAAGTGGTGGAGACGTGTCTCGAGGACCCCAACAAGACCTCATAAGTGGTGCGGAAGGTCGCAAGAGCCTCGAAGAACGTGCGCAATCTACTCCCCTTCGCGGTCTTACAAGTCTGGTAGATATTTCTGCTGTATCATTGTAGATCTGGATAAGAGGTTGATACAGGCGCGATTGCCTTCAGTTGTGCAGCACGTGCGCTTACGTCATGGTCGTACCTACCGTGTACGAGGCCAGTGAATCGTCGCACACCGCGTCCACCAACAATTCCCTCAGCGCATCCATTCCACTCCACTGCACCTCCACCATGGCGCTTCCGATCTTTTGCGCTCTAATTTCGCTTTTCGCTACACTCACTTGCGCGTTTACCGACGACCGTCAAGCGGGACTCCAACATGCACCCGATAAGGAGACGAGGATAGCCATCATCGGTGCAGGACTCAGCGGCGCTGGCACAGCGTACTATCTACGCGAGAATGCTCCTCCGGGTCAACCACTCTCGATCACGATCTTCGAATCTAGCGAACGTATCGGCGGACGAGTGGCTTCATTCGTGGTACCGGATACCCAGAACCGGACCATTCTCGAAACTGGCGCTGCCAGTTTCTTTACGGACGATACATGCATCACGCAAAGCGTTGAGAAGCTGGGTCTGACTCTCCTAGACAAGAAAGGTTGCTGGTCGCTTCTGGGATGTCTCTACAACCCATTTAGAAGAACAGGCATTTGGAACGGCAAGGAAATTATCGGCAAGCCATTGCTTGCTTTGAGACTGAGCGAATGGTTAGACGAGCACGGTCTGCTCTGGATTGTGAAACCAGTCGTATGGTCCAACAACATGTCCGTATGGGATACCTTGCGTCTCCTCCATTGGAACGATCTGAAGTTAGACCCTGGGCTGCAGGCCTCGTGCGACTTCACGTCTCCATCGATTTGGAGACGTATCCACATGCGTTACGAGTACGGCAGCTCGCCTGCACTCTTCCAGCGAGCGGTTCACACCACGAAAGGGAAATTCCAGCATTTTGGACGTAAGGACCGTTTCAGCAGAGTTGATGAGGAGCTTAGAAGGGTGGGTCTGAATGACGGCATCGCGAGACTCTCCGCTGCGGACTATCTTACAGGCCTTGGTATCAGCAGGCTATTCCAGTCCGAGGTCATCGAGCCATGTGTACGCGCGCGCTCCTCTCTTGATCTGACGCAGGTTAGTGCTATCGATGCGATGATGGCTTGTAGAGAGTCAAAAGAAGCATCTTTAGTCGGCGGTAACATCCGGCTCGTAGGCGCAATGATGAACGCCTCGCTAGGGGACTTGCAACTGCGAAGCGAGGTGGTTGGAATTGAACATGGCCAAGATCGACGATACAAACTCTCAATCGCGGATGCATCAGATCTAACATTACATGGAAACGACGAGTTCGATGTAGTCGTGCTGGCGGGTCTGATTCATGAGAGTCCACTACTTGACAGCCTCCAAAAGCTAGGCTCGCTGCCGAAGAACCTCTTATCACCACCAAGTTATACCACAGCGCACGTTACCTACTTTGCTACGGAGCATGCCTTCAAACCGGAATATCTCAACTTATCCGCTGACTTCGACATCCCAGGCCGCCTTCTAACAACATCTGCGGAGTCCAGCCTGATCTCGCTATCTATGTGGGACGATATGGGCTTTTACTGGGAAGACCGACTTCGGCGCAAGGAGCCTTGGGTTGAACGACCTGATCATTACGACAGCGATGAATGCGGGAACCGTAAGTTTGAATACGAAAACCTGTACCGTGTAGTGTCTCTAGAGTATATCTCAGAAGGCGAACTTGCTGCAATGATTGGAAAGTACTGGGAGGAGGGACAGAATGCGACGGACATCGGGTTCAGCTGGGTTCATCGACAAGAATGGAGCAAAGCGTTTCCGAAATTTGATGACGGCAGGGGTGTAACGGGAGACATTCAGGTAGCGGAGGATGTCTTCTGGCTTGGTGGTGGGAATGAAGTTACGTCGTCACTTGAGATGAGTTGTAAAATGGGAAGGAATGTTGTGGCCCTGATACGAGACCGGGCGACTACAACAAGTGCTAGACATGGCGAACTGTAGCTCACAGGTAGTTATCATGGCTATATCGAGCCGGAGGTCCTTCAAATGTAAGTCTATGAAATGTTGTGCCTGCTACATTGGCATTCTCCTTACCTCTTCATCCTCAAGACTTACGCTGTAGTCCGCGGTACTGGAATAGTCAGGCTGGTTTGGACATAGATAATTGCAGCAATCAATTTCACCGCTTTTAGGGTAGCGCAGTGAAGTCGCGAAGTGAAGGACTGAGCCAAGGCAGCAGAGAAAGAGCGCACGGCCTGGATCTCTGATATATACACAACGTACCCCTCCCGCCCATTGTACCCCCCAACAGCACTGGTCAAAAACTACCTCGAGATAAGCTCGCGAATATGCATTCCTCCAAGGTACTACGAGTCCTCATCGTTGGCCTCCTGACGTCTCTCTTCCAAGTCTGCAGTGCACAGAATGTGGGTATTGAGACTACTCCCATTTTCAAGAACTCGCAATGCAGTGCGGAACAAGAGCGTATCATCCGTCAAGCGTGGTTGGATGGCGTAATGCTCGCTAATGCGGCCTTTGACGATAGCGACGAACTCCTTCCGAATACCGGCGGCGGACACAGGATCATAAACTTCGATACTCAAGCGGCAATTGAATATTGGGGTCCACCGAGCGAAAACCTTGGGTACCGGCAGCGGATCTACGATACTTTTCACCGCGCCACTCAAGCGTCATGGGGGCGGGGTTGGGCCGACTGGTGGTTTGAACGCTATATCGAAATGCACTGCGACGATCCGGAGCCGAAACAGTGCGACGATTCAACTTCTGCTTACTACATGCCCACGAAAAAAGGTTCGTGGTCATACGACGGTATCAACTTTTGTCCTGCCTTTTTCTCCACTCTCAAGGACCACGCGGAATTGGAGAAGCGTATCCTCGCTGACCCGACTGGCCAATTAAGGCTAAACACCAGGAATATGCGAAGCAGAGGTGAACTACATGCTCAACTTGCGACCAAATCTCGTTTGCTGATTACTGAATATAGCCTGCACCGCTCTCCACGAGTTACTACATGTCAACGACTCCAAGACGGAAATCTGTCAGGGGGGATGTGAGTGTTACAGCATATCGTTGTAACTTCCCACGTACGACTGACACGATTAGGTTACGACACCAAGCAAATGATAGGCGGCAAGGCAATCTTCACGTACAAGTCTGGCCGCGCAAAACTACTGGCGGCGAGGGACGTTCAGGCTGCGGCCGAAACCAACGACAACTATGTCTATTTTGCCATCGCGCGGTACATGCAAAAGAAGTTTGGGGTCTACCCCGCGTATCCACGCATATGGAGTCCTGCGAAAACGAAGGGAGAGAACCAGGCGATTGAGAACGGCGAACCGGGCGCCCCAAGCCGTTACAATATGGCGTTTGAGTTGGAAGATGTCGACCTCGATGGCGGCGCCGGCGAAGCGATTTCAGATAAGCAGTACAAGACGTCGATCTACCCGGAGTGGTACCAACAAGACTCGCCCGTTGAGCCTGACTTTGGTAGGCTCGCCTTCTCCCATCCCAATATAGACGACGTTGTTTGCCAGACCACGAGCGAGTCTGCGCAGTACGATGATTGTGTAGCCGCTTTTGCGACGCTGGAGGGTCTCGATCGGAACAAGGTGCAGCTGGTTCACAAAAGGCCCGGCGAAAGGTGGTGGGCGAATGTGGTTACGACGTGTGCGGTCCAAGTCCACTACAAGGGCGACTGGTCAAAGTGCGAGGCTTCGCTGTCGGATGTATGGGCTCACGCCAAGGATGTCTTTGAGGGCTGCCATGGCGAGTATGGGACGGTGGGTGGCTATGTTCCGTTCGGTGTGCCAAATTGCCCTGCGACAATTGATCTCGTATCTAGTCGTCAGTGGCGCAATCCGGATCCGTTCTAGATAGATTCACAGCGAACCGGATACTGGCAGGACGGTTATGGCGTCGGGATAAGCGATGGTTGTATGCATAGTCGCGAATGTAGGCACAGACCTCGGGAATGTCGCATGAGATGATGTTGATGCTACGCGTGTGGTTTCTGGGGGTCCACGGGTTGAGGAGCGTGGCTGCCGGACGTCATAGGGGCTCGCGCTTTCCCATGATTGGCGCTAGCGCCGCAACGCCAACGGCAGGGCCGACCTCTGCACATCAACACTTCCCTTATCCTTTTGCTCTGCGACTCTACACTTTGCCCGCTCACGCCCACTCTTCCTATCCTCGCCAGCATGACTACATTATACCTCTCAGTCTTGCGCTCGATGACACGCGCTTGGGAACAGAAACAACCTGCGCTTGCTAGCACAGCCATGACCCATGCGTTATGAGTAAGCCGTGCGAGGCCCTCACATAGAAGCAGGAAGTGATCCTTTTTAGTTCTCCATCTTGTCAAGTCGCTGATGAATAAAGCCAAGCCATTGTAATAGTAACATCAAAGTGCTACAATTTACCCCAGGCGTCATATAGCATGCTTGCGCTTCTACGCCGACCATCTGCAATAGACGGTCTATTCGGAGCAGCCCTAGAACTGACTTAAGAAGACCGAAGGCATCTCTTCACCAATATATGTCTGACATACACAGTGTTGCTTGCAACAACAACTCAATCAATTTAGAATGACAGGACCAAAGCCAGGAGATCTTTTTGGAGGCCTCATTCCATTGCTAAAGATAGCCAGGTAAAGGTGAAGGCAGAGGTGACCTTGCATTTGCTGTGGCAGCTGCTAGCGGGGACGCTAGGGTGTATATAAGCACTCACTCTAACACTGGATTGCTCTCCATCCTCCTACAACACTCACGTCGCAGAGACCTCAGCACAATATGGAGCCCGTATCCCACTCTCCATACCGCTATGCATTCAATTCCGCTCTCATCGGTATCGAAGCACCAATCCTCGCAGATCACACATTGCTCTGCGTAGAGAACTGGAGCAACGCAGGAAGCACCAGCCGGCGGGTAGATGACGTGGTCGAGACCACCCAAGAAGAAGAGGATATCGGCAACAACCTCCCATGCAACGATCTATGTCTCTGGGTTGGAGTTCGACCAGCTAGGGCCGATGTGCTGCGCCAACAAGCTTCCAAGCCTGTTGGTGACGACACCGAGACGCAGACGGCTCTCGACAACCTCAAAGCCATCAAGATCAAGAGAGGCTCATCAGTTGGCTCAGTTCTCAAGCTTGACAACATTCCAGTCTGGCCGCTGAAGGATGGCATGACACGAGTAGTGGTCCGGTATAACCTCAAGCGCGCCGACCGTCTGCAGTATTACGAACTGATCAACCGCCATCCAGTGACCAAGGTAAGTTCACCCCCCTCAATACAGACTGTAATAGACGGTGCAATCGATCCAATCGCTCACTCCCACCAGCTATCTTACCCAGTTCCCATCAAAGCCCAGGAAGTTTTCTTCTTTCGCCTTTATCGAGACGATGACATATCTGCATCGACCGGTCGTCAGAAGGGCTGGACTCAGAACATCAAGACATATCTCACCGATTATTTCGACGAGCGTCTCAATGAAGGGGGCATGCGGCCAAACAGAAAAAGGCAGGAGCTCACTGGAAAGGAGTCTCCGCCCAGGAAGAAGATGCGCTTTGGCGCTTTTGACTCCTATTAGACTTCCAGCCTGCAAGAAGAATGTCTGACGCACGCAGTGAGGGCTTGCGGATAGCTAGTCAGTTCATGAAGCGGTGGGGAAGAAGGTGATGATGAGTTTTGATTTGCGATAGCTACATGGGTGTGGGTGGAAGTTTGAATACTCAATGCAGGCTGTATTCAGCTGTGTGCAGAAGGCGAAAAGTTAAGGCTCGCTGAGGCAATCACCTAGTTACATGATGATAATGGTCAACAACTCGTTTAATGCTTTACCACGCTCTTATATTTGCACCGTGTAAATTCTCTATGCTCTGACAATGTGTCTTCCTCGCAGCGCGAATGTGTATTGGTGTCGTGGAATTACTTACAAATGACGACAAGCAGCATCTTCACTCTCGAAACCACTTACATCTTTGTAAGGTCGCTAACAACTAGTTGACATATATACGAAGATGAACGACGGAAACGGCTCTTGTTAGAAGACGTCCTTGTTCTGGGTATTCTTCGGATGGGTGAACATCCGATTTACACTAGGGAACCTTGTGCACCGGCACGATACGCTACTCTTGAGCTCTCTGCTTTATTGTAATCGACGAAGATCCGTGCCTTACGCTGCTGACAGTAACGACAACGTCTCCAGACGTACTGCCGGAACGTATCACTGCTAAGGCTCGCCCTCGCCATGTTCTATGAACATTGCCCTTGAAGTCATGCAGATTCTTATAGTACGCAGACCCAAGCGCTGCCAGAGTGGCATCTCCATGTACCTCGACGGTAAGGGTATCGTCGTCATTCATCTCGATGTTTCCCTCTTGATCAGCGAGTTGAAGTTCCAGGTACGCTAGGTCTTGTCTGTCTGCGACAAGTTCACCGGACTTCTCGTTGACAATCCTAACTGAAGCAACGTCAGCGGAGCGGAGCGTGGAGCGCGAACGCTCCTGTCCGCGAGAGTATGCAACAGCAAGAAGTTCGCCAGGCTCGTAAGCTGTCGAAAATCTAGCGGTGTATCTGTTGGCTTGGTTGCTACTTGCGCGCCCAAGCGAGCGGCCATTCAGGAAAAGTTCTGTTTCCTCTTCTTGAGTGATGACCTCAATGTAAGCCTTCTGGCCCTCACAACCCTTCCAGCCCCAGCCCTCGATCGCATCGGAATCTCGCCAGGGCGTCGCCTTGTAATACAAGTTAGAGACGTCCAATGGACGTACCGCAATTACGGGTTGAGACAGGAGTTTCCAGCACGCTTGGGCTACGAAAGCCGAAGCATTGGGCACGCCAGTGATGTCTAAAGCGCCGCAACCCCCTACTAGATGTGGCCAAGGCTTGTACAATTTTATAGGGGTAAACCTGCTTGCCTCATAGTCGTGCACACCAATGCCTACCTCGCCAAGGTAGTCCCATCCAGTCCACATGAAGTCTCCTATTAGGTTCGGAATCTTTTCAACGTTGGACCAGTTCCTAGGAAGATCAGGTGGACAGGTTTCGGTACCGAGCATCATCCTTGAAGGGTGTAATTTGGCATCTGATTGGTACCGGATATCTCCATAATTGTAGCCCGCAACATCCATGTACGAATAGAGTCTGCTGGTCACAACATTGGTGTGATTGAACTTTGGGAAGTACCGCATGAATGAGAGGAACATGCTGGCGATGATGTTGAAGAAAGTGCTAGAGGCCAAATCCCCCAGACCGCCTTTGTTATCTGCAGGAGGAGTATTTGGATCCCCCGGCGGGATTTTTGAAAACATCATCAGGGCCAGCGTAAGATTGAGCGCGATAGTGTTAGGTCGGGATGGATCCAGCTTGTGCGTGAGGTCCAGGAGCTTCTTCGCGATCGTGTGTCCGTAGGCGGATTTTGGCTCAGTGATCTCGTTACCCAATGAGTACATAACAACTGAAGGGTGGTTACGAGCTCGTTCCACAAGAGAAGCAACTTCGTACTCCCAGCGTTCGTTGAAGGTGTTGGAATCGTCATATTTAGACTTTGCCTGGTACCAGTAGTCGGCAAACTCATCCATGACGTACATGCCTACCTCATCACATGCTTGTAGAAGGACTTCTGAGCATGGATGGTGCGACATACGAATAGCGTTGAAGCCATTCTTCTTCATGATCGACACGCGCCGCAGTTCCGCAGCTTTGAACGATGCTGCGCCGAGGATACCGTTGTCTGCGTGTATGCAACCACCACGCAACTTCACAGTCTGGCCATTGACCAGGAATCCATGACCAGGCTTCAACTGCAGAGTGCGCAGACCGTACTTGAACTTATAGAGATCGCCGTTGATGACGACAGTGCAGTCGTAGAGATTCGGAGTCTCAGCGGACCATAGATCTGGGTTCGATAACTCGAAGTTTTGTCTCAGCTCAGACGTTGTCGTTTTTGTTGTCCACTGGATCGCGTTCCTTCCTCCTCTCGAAAGCTCGAAAGATACTTCAACGTCATCCTTCTTTTCGTTGTTGAGTAAGACCTCGAATGTGAGAAGAGCAACTCCACTGGCGGAGAGCGTTGCCAGCCTGATCCCGTCCTTGCAAAGCAGATTGTGGTTTCGAACCATGAGATGAACGCTGCGATGAATTCCGGCTCCAGTGTACCAGCGCGCGTTAGGTTGTTCACTGTTGTCGGCATGTACTTCGATGGTGTTCCTCTCGCCGAGCTTCAGGTAAGAGTCTACGCGAACCTCAAACTTGGTCCAGCCCGCCAGACAACCGCCGACTTCTGTGCCGTTCACCAGCACGCGACTGTGCCGGTAAACACCATCAAAACTCAAAGCGACCACTTTGGACTCCAGAGTAGTAGGCGCTTGCCATGTTTTGCGATACTTGTACGTTCCGCCAAGATAAAATCCGCCATGAGTTCCAGCGAGGGCGTCCTCCCGCCGCCCTTCTACCTGCATAGCATCGTGAGGAAGGTGTACTTTGCTCCAGCCAGTTTGTCCAGAGCGTTGGAACTCCCAATCTTCGTTGAAAAGTGTCGCTACTTCGGCCATTTTTTTGCATCTACTGTGCACTGGAAGTTGAACCAAGGGCATGAAATTTGAAGGTAGGGGCTTAACTTTCTAACACGGGGTCAGCAAAGTTCTTGTAGCGTCAAGCGTACCAAAAACGTACACGGCCCTCCTCGGTACAATAATCTGCATCTTGGAAGATGCTTGCGCACAGGTACGTATATCCACCAATGATTTGGTGTTACATAGAAGTTTCCAGCCTTGTAGCCCTGATATTGTTGTGCAGAGAATCCATTAGCGCTTACGTCGAAAGTCGGATGCACAGAGGCCGGGTCCGGACGCCTTCTGTAGCTTCGGATGCACAAGGTCCCGAGTCCGGACGCCTTCGCGACTCACAAGCTACCCAGCGCGTGCGCCTATCATGCACTTAGTTAATAACTCGAAGCAAGCGCCTATCGTGTCGCGGCTTTTATGCCGACTCTTAGCAGCTAGCAAAAAATTGTCATATCGCGTAGGCCCAGGCGAAGGAAGGAACCAGATTGCAGCCATTGTGGTGACGCAGAAGCGCCTGCGTATTACAGCACTAATGACGGCTCAACGTCGATACTCGTGAGGCTGCAGATGTCGTTGTGGTGGAGAAGCCGTGGTGTTGAACACCGCGATGACGCGCCGCAATTGCTTGGCGTCGGACCGCCGATTGGCCACCATCTCTCAGGTACACACCACACCATCCGACCGCCATTAACACTTCAACGCCATCATCTCGGCAGCCAGCGACTGTACGACAAGTGCGGCCATCTATATTGCAAGCTCATCGTCGTGAGTACGTAGTGATGCTATCATCACCGACGTACGCAGCGCGCGTCATCACAGCATCTGGCAGCGCGCGTCGTAGTGCCTCACGTAACGCGACCGCGTCATAGAATCTCTTGCTAATCTCAAGTCAACTAACGTCAGCTCGCAGCCTCTTGGTGAAACGTCAGTCACTGGTTGGGAAGGGTTCGGGAACGTCTCAATCCATGAAGAGTCGCCTGCTCTACGGCTCACCGAACGGCGCCTTTCCATTGTCGTCTCATCCCGATTCTACATGCCAACGGTGCCTCCCCAGATCATCGTGTCCGGCCTACAACGCGAAGCGGAAGTCGGGATGATCGTCGCCCAGCGCCTTCGTACTCTGGTCAAGAACCTCCGGCATCTGCAACCTTGCCTCATCGCGCTTCTTGTTCTCCCTCTTGCAACCAAAGAATGTTACCGTCGCAGCAACAACACCGATACAAGCCAGTCCGAGACCCGTACTAAACCCAGTACGAAACACCGGCGCCTCTTTAAACAGAAAAACGTTAGAGCTAATAAAGGCCCCTGCAGTACCGAAGTTGATAATTGCAGCAATAGCCACGGCCCGCTTGTACCCAGAACCGCAGTTCATCGAGACCCAGATAATCGAGATCGGCATCGCGAGATAGCATCCACTGGCAATAAAAAACATGCCGCAATACCGCACGGCCGGGTTGGACGGGTGCACAATCTCCACGATGAGACCTGTCGCGAGAACTGCCCAACCTAGGACGTAAAACAGATACCGACGCTGCAGCCACTCGCTCATGTACGCGAAGATGACCGAGAAGGCGGCGCCGACAAGATACACAGGGATCGTGTGGACCTGCGCTTGCGTCGCGGTATAGCCAAGGCCCTTTAGGATGGTCGGTTGGAAGTTCGCGAGAGAGTTTGCGTTCTCAGTCACTCCGATGTTCATCAAAACGCTGGTCACGATCAGTTCAGTTATGCGCAAGAACATACATGCCACTTACCCAGTCCAGATCTTCCAGTCTTTGAGGAAATGTAACGCCTTCTTGAACGATATCTCGTCGTCGGCAACATGACCCCCATCAGCTTTTATGCGAGCTAGCATCAGCGCCTTCTCGTCGGGAGACAGAAACTTGCATTGCTCGGGAAATGGGGGAACGATCGGCCAACAGGCTATGCTGACGAAGATAGTCACACAACCTTCGATGATGAAGATCCTAATTCACGTCAGTAGATGTACGCCAAAGGACTCAACAGTTAACCTACCATCTCCACGCTCCATACCCGGCTGTACCGTCCATGCGAGCGATTAACGAGGAAACGAACCCGTTGATTGCGCCCGCAACAATACCTGCGGTGCAAAAAAAGACGTAGCGCGTCAAGTACTCGCGCTTCGAATAATACGCGCCGATCAAGTATGCCGCTCCCGAGATGTAGGCCGACTCGGCGATGCCTTCCAGCAGACGGCAGACAACGAGCTCCTCCCATCGCTTCACGAGTCCGCATCCGATCACGGTGATGCCCCAGCAGAACATCATTACGCAAAGACTCTTGGGCCCATACTTCTTGAAGGCGATTTGCAACGGGATGCCAGCGACGAGGTAACCCAGGTTAAAAACCCACACGGCGATGTTGAACCTCTGGCCAATGAGGTTCAGCTCTGTCTCCATGCCCTGGATCTTTGCATTCCCTATGTTGGCTCTTGAGGGCGAGTTAGCAAGGCATCGCAACGATCAAAGGTCATCCAACTAGACTTACCGGTCGATGAAGTTAACCAAGTAAAGTATCCACAGCACTGGCAGAATTCGAAGGTCGAGCTTGCGAATAAGTCGCCTCTCTGCAGCGCGATCAAAGCCATGCTCGGATGTTGAGCCTGCTGGAGACACCGACGAGTTGTCGACGCGAACCCCCTTCTCGACAATGCTGGCGTCTGTCATATCGACGGGGTGTGATGAAGAACGAAGGAGGGGTGAAGTGATTGCTGCGAAGCAGATCAAAGTCGACTATCAGTAACAGCTCGTCATGCGATGCGGGCAGGGTCAAGGTTCACCGCAGACCAAACGAAAGGCTACTCGAATTACGCCCGGTCAACACATATCCCCTCACCGCGTCGCACCACGCCCTGTTCGAGCTCTGACTGTCGGAAACATTCCAGGACGGGCACAATAACCTCGATTACGAGCCGTGAAGCCTTCGGTCATGACCTGATGTGCGACGTCTTGTTGAGAAGGATCAGCGGACGTTTTGCGCTTCTTCATAACGTCTACTTCGCGATGCTTGTGATTGGATGTGGTAGGCGGAAGGATGCGCGGTCATTACACGAAAGAAGTGTCCGACATGGGGCTGGTAGGCATCGTGCGGAATTGAGCCCTCTCCGCATCCTTCGCGACTTGGCTATAAGAACGATGGATCAACGACCTATCGTTATATGAAGCCGTCGGTGGCAATGCTTCTTTCGAAGCTAGTCTTGCGGTATGCCGTTACATTATGAGTTAGCGGGCTCGGGATGAGAGTTCAGATCCACAACGGCGCCCGAGGCGGAGAAGAGGCAACCCCACCGCAGCGGCCCGCGCCAAATCTCCAACAACGCTCCAGACTCTCTGGGCGCAGTCCGAACCTTTCGTTTCCCCAAGCAAATACATCGTCGTGGAAGATCTTGTCATTATCAGTACATTCGCAAAGTCTGGATTTGGCATTGAACGGTAGTAAGCGGCAGTTCACTGAATGCCGGTAAGCACGTCGCAGCACAATGGTCGATCCGCATGTCTCCTCACCTTCATTGCCATACAGGTGGTTAGCGCATCTGTCTTTAACCAGGCGACACCCCGGTTCGAAAGCGACGCAAGCTTTGCCGTGCCGCTTCTTCATGGCACTGAAGTATCATAAGCTTGCCCCACCTATGATGTGGGTCATCTTACCACCAAGCAGCTGCACTCGTACCTCGAAGTAATATTTCGGGAGTGGAAGCTAGCTCGCGTAAGGTGCACAGTATGTTGTCAGCAATGGTTTCCACGATCATCATATCGCCGCCATTTTCACATTGCATTCGTCGCTATCAAGTCTGCAATCTCCCCAACCCATCACGGTGATGGCTGAAAGAAACCCCATGAGCCTCGCGATCGTTGGCGGCGGCATCGCTGGCCTCACGTTGACTATCGCAATCCTCACTAAATGTCCACGCATCAGTGTCACCCTCTACGAGTCCGCCGAAGCCTTTGGCGAGATAGGCGCAGGTGTCGGCTTCTCGCCGGTTATGGTTCGCACAATGGCCCTCATCGATCCACGCATCGCGGAAGCATTCGTTAAGTGTAGCAAAGGCAACACGGTTACCGACCCACCGAATTGGTTCCACGTGCGCGTGGGAGATGAAAGAAAGAAGGATGTCAAGCTAGGGGAAGAGATCTTTGTTATACCAGGGATAAAGGGACCGGGAGGGGGCGTGCACAGGGCTCACTTCGTCGATGAGTTGGTGAAGCTGGTACCGGAAGGAGTCGCGCGGTTCAAGAAGAGGGTACTTGAGGTTACTGAAGCAGACGACGGCTCTGGCGACGCGGTCTTGCATTTTACTGACGGGTCTACTGCGCAGCACAGTGCGGTGCTTGGATGCGACGGGATTAAATCGCGCGTGCGATCTATCGTGCTGGGTGATTCGGATGCGGCGAAGGCGGTCTTCTCGGGGAAGTATGCGTATCGGGGGCTGCTCCCCATGTCGGAGGCGGTTGAGATCTTGGGCAATGAGACACCAAGAACGCCGCAGATGTATATGGGCTATCACGGGCATGTGCTGACATTTCCTATTGCGAACGGCACGCTGTTCAACGGTACGACAACTCCACTCGCCCGTCAACCCGCGTAGCTAACGTACTTGCAGTCGTCGCTTTCTCCTCGCGACCCACGTGGGAAGATCAGAACTGGGTAGTTCAAACATCCCGCGAGGACATGCTGGAAGACTACAAGCATTGGATCCCTGCTGTGCGCAAGATCATGCAAAACATCCGAAAGCCTGATATCTGGGCGCTCTTCAACCACCCACCTGCATCAATCTACTACAGCGCTAAGCCACTGATCTGCCTAGTGGGCGATGCCGCTCATGCATCGACACCGCATCAAGGCGCAGGTGCGGGAATGTGTATCGAAGATGTGTACATTCTGAGCGAGTTGCTATCGCAGTGTCATGCGAAGACCAGCTTCGACAAAGTCTTCCACGCATACGACTCGGTAAGAAGGCCGCGCAGCCAAAAGCTGGTCAAAACGAGCAAGGAAGCCGGTATGCTGTGGGAGTTTGAAGGAGAAGGCGTCGGCGACGATTTGGAAGCGCTGCGGATTAATGCGCAGTCGAGAATGGCTTGGATTTGGGATCATGAGATATCCGATGACCTGAAGGAAGCGAGGCGCATCATGCAAGAAGGCTCATCGAATACTCCGTAGCCGGGGATGCTGAGGTCACCATATCACGACAATGCTCGACGCCTACCCAACAAAAACGACAGTAGTGAATGACCCAGAAGTCTACATCGCACTGAGATCTTGCAAACCTTCGTTGTAATGCTGATGTAGGCTTCAGCGCGCGCCTTCGATTGATCCTTTTGCGTGGGATGCGGAGGTGTCGCAATACCCGAAGACATGCATCTTCGCAGCCACACCGTCCAGGCTCGAGCGCGTTTCGCTTCATGTTCCGTTTTCCAAATGATCTGGTCCAACGGTAGCCGGTTATCGCTTTGCGACCAGAAACGGATGTCGTTCCAGGAAGCCGCTGGGATCGACTGTGCCGCACAGCCTCGCTACCACACTACTTTATAACTTACCCCACGCTCGACAGAAGACGATGCATGAAATCACAGGCGCGCGGCCTCGCTCCTACGCGACAAAGAACCTGGTATGCTACGCTGCGCCTAGCGTTCGCCCAGTGAGGGACGGAGAGGTTGCAGCCTGGCCAGCTACTCCGTCTCAGAAGCGTCGAACACAACCATGGTCTTCCAGATTCAGCAGGCGCAAGCGGAGGTATGTCAGTGTCCGGAGAGGCGCTGTGAGCGTCAAAGAAGACGGCGCTGGTGAGTATATTTAGACTTGGGCGACACCATCCAGCATTAGAACTCCACATCATCACGACTTTACCTTCCATACCATTGCGCATTTGCCCCATACATACTCTTTGAAGCATGCCTGTCTCCACATCTACCCCCACAGCCGTGGTTGGCGATGCGTCTGGCCGCCGCTGGGACCCAGAAGCGGTGCTCAAGCTTTGTCAAGACGGCCGCTGCGTTGGATGGGCGCCCTCACGTGGTCGAAAGTGCCGCATGCCCATACGTCAAGACAACGCACACAGGGTCGAAATGTTGGTGGTTGATTTGGCGAACCAAAGTCCAGACCCTGAGCGACTCCGGCCAAAACTTCAGCGCCTTGCTGAGCATGGCTTGTGTGTTCGTTTCCATCAATACCAAGTCGACGAGATGCTAGACCGTTGGATAAAGCGGTTGTGGGAGGCGTTCCCTAGGCATGACCGAGTAGACGAAGGGGTCGACGCGACGTCGGAGCGGGTGAGGCAGCGGCCTGGGTCTGCGATAGGTAAGTCTTCTACTGCCCACCATACAGCGAAGCCATCTAACAATGTCTCAGTCGTCGCAACGTCGGAGGCGGAGCTTGCTGCACGTGCCGAGGTCGCTGCGCTACAAGAATCGCTTCGTGATGTCAATCGCCGCCTCGAGGAGCTTACGGCTCGTCAAGCTGCACACCAAAGCATGGCGCAGTTGGAGTCTCGTGTTTCTCGTCTAACGAGATCGATCGATCCGCCTTTGTCGTCTTCGCAGCCGCCGGATATCCTCTCGAATCTGCGCATCCGAAGGAGCTTCGCACCGATTCGCCCTGTTCTCACCGCAGGGTCGGATCGAGTAAGAAGCCCAACGACTGCAGGCACGCGACCGCCGTCTAGCGACTCGTCCAGCGATTCGTCCAGCGATTCGTCCAGCGAGGCATCGAGCCCGACGGTGCCGCACCCACCCTATATGATGCGGAGGCTAGCACGACATGCGCGAAGACCAACAGCGGCCGGCAGAGAAGCTTTGTCCAGCGCATCGTCCAGCGAGTCGTCCGGCGAGGTACCGGGCCAAACGTTCAGCGAAACATCCAACGAGGCCTTAAGCGTGACTGTGCCGCAGGTATCACCAGGCTTCACGACCTCAACACCCCGTTGTGCGCGTTCGCATGCCCGCCGTCTGCCCTTCGACGATGAATGCCCCATATGTCAAGAAGGCGACCTTCTGTCCCAGTACGATCGGTCGGAGGTTGTGTGGTGTGAGTCCACATGCGGAAGGACTTTGCATAAAACATGCTTCGAGGATTGGCGTAAGCAGTGCGTAATCGACCACCGGGATTTCACGTGTCCTGTATGTCGCGGTGACTGGGAAGAGCGCTCATGCGAAGCGTGTGACCTGATGCAGGTGCGCAGGCAAAAGATCGAAGGGGATTGCGCTATCTGTTGCCATGCGATGAAGGGAGACGCGCCGGAGGGCAGGGAAGACCTCGTGTGGTGTAAGAACTCGTGCGGGCAAAACGTCCACCGAGAGTGCTTTGATAGCTGGAAGGAGCATTGCGATGCCCTTAGAGGAAAAGTCGCGACTTGCGTGCATTGCAGAACGTCGTGGCGGCGTGAGGAGTGTGATGGCTGAGGAGCAAGGGATGTGCTAGCGCGGAGGTTCGGCCATGCCTTCGGAAATGGGTTCCGATGGGAGCAAGCACCTCGCATCTTCATCTGATGGGCCTACCTCGCGCCTGCCCCAAGCGTGTATTTTAGAGCTCGAATTAGAGCGAACGTCCCACCTAGGAACTCGCCGACGTCGATAAATCAGCGCCCCTGCAGCTCCATGACTAACATCCATGTACTCACCGCGCTGTCGTCTGATGAGGGCCAAGTCCCACGAGCCAATCTCACTAGGCACCAGCGTGCTTTGTATTACGCCCATCCAAACATCTTCGCTCGCGTCAATTTCGGGAAAAGGTCAAACACCTTGGAGCCTACATCGACTTTACTTCGCCTACTTTGCATATCCTCATTCTCATGTAGTCTGTACACCTGTACAGTCTCTTTTGGATGAGTTGCTACGACTGTGCCGATCTCGCAAACGTCTGGGATCCCGCGCACTCCACACCTTGCTGAGCTTCTCGCGCACACAAGGAGAAGCTAATCACCATACATCTATCGCGCTAACACCCATGCGGATTCTCGACGTGAGGTAACATTATCAGGCGACCGCGTACCGTACCTGCCACATCTACTGTTTCGCAAAGATGGGATTCTGCCATACATGCCAGTCCATACCTATTCGCAGCTTCCTGAAGCTTCGCCAATGCGACAGTTCCGTGTACGACGAATTCGAGTGGTTTCGATTGCCCAGCTCGGTCACCACTGAGGAAACGAAGGAGCCGTTCTACAGATGGCACAACAGCGTGTCAGACCTACAGGAAAGTGTCAGTACATGCGCATTTTGCGAGGTCATCTTCAGTCATCTCAGTGGCAGCTACCACTATCAAATGAACTACAAGAACTGTGATGGAACAGCTATGTGGATACTGGCGCCGATTGGCTCCCCCATGCTGAAGGTGTTCATGGGCCTGGTGGAACCTCAGATACAGCTCAGTGGCAACTTCAGTTACACGACTACTCCAGGTATTTGACTTCCACTTGTTAGCACAAGCTCAATTTGACGCGCGCCCTCCAGACAGCTCGGTCGCAGGTTGCTTCAAGAGCCACGTGCCCATTTTGAACACATTGAATCCGTACGTTCTTCGGCAGATGGCAGCATGGGTCAAGAATTGCAATGAGAACCATGCGGACTGCTCAACATCGATGCCCGCGCGCAACACGTCTCAGCTACCTACGCGCCTTTTGGATCTTGACTCAATGCCTAAAGCGGCTGACTTCGAAGGTGCCCCAGGTGATCCACGTACTTTGTTGGAGAACACATCACTCAGGCTTATCGAGAAAGGCTCAGACAGCGAAGGCCAGTATATCGCATTGAGCTATTGCTGGGGAAAAGCTTTGGCATTCACCACGACTTCCAAGGATCTCGACAAATACAAAGAGGAAGGGGGAATCAAGTACAATCAGCTTCCCGAAACCATTCGAGACGCCATCTTTCTCACCAGATATCTAGGTATTCGATACCTCTGGGCTGACTGTCTTTGTATCATACAAGATGACGGAGCTGACTGGGAGAGAGAGGCTTCTCGGATGGCTGATGTGTACAGCAACGCGTATCTGACCATCGCCGCGACACGTGCCAGCCATTGTGGCGAAGGCTTCTTACATGCACGTAAACTTAAAGACACTATTGTCTCTTTTGCGGACGACAAGGGCTCATTCGACCTTTTCTTCCATTACGACGATTTGATGTGGTTTCCTGGCTCTATGGAATCTATCACTGACGAGTCAATTACGATGCGAAGGGTACACCTCACCTTTTTAACGATTTGCACAGCGTTCCGGCAAGCTAACGTGAGATAGGAAGAGCCCCTCTTGAGTCGCGGCTGGGTACTTCAAGAACGAATTCTCGCGACACGTACTTTGCATTTCACAAGCTACTTCATGCGGTTGGAGTGCTCGAAGCAGGTCTTTACCGAGCCCGGATTCGTCAACGAATATGGCACCTCGAAAGAGACGTCATTGGAAAGGATAGCACAAGGGCTTGAAAGCATCAAAAACGCGACACAAACCACAGGCACGCAGCAAACACAAGTCGGAGGAGTCGCGACCAGTGGCAAATATGGATGGCGCGTATGGGCCCGCATGATTGAGGATTACACATCGCGCAATCTGAGTTTTGCGTCCGACAAATTCCCCGCCCTAGGTGGCGTTATCTCAGCCCTACAGAAGCTCACTGGCGATACCTGCTTCGCGGGCATTTGGAAGAGCTGGTTTCTCCAAGGTCTACTTTGGCGCTTGCAGGATCCCAACTGGGATGAGTATGTCTTTTTCCCGAAGGAACCGCAGAGGGCCATCCCTTGGAGAGCTCCGACATGGTCATTCGCATCTGTCGAAGGAGTTGTGCTATATCTACTCCTCGAGGAGAATTTTGACCAAGGACTGTGCGCAGAACTGCTGAGCTGCAAAGTCACGCCTAAGGGGAAAAATCCCCTTGGAGAACTTACTGACGGATTCGCCAAGATCAGAGGACCAATCGCTGCTGTGTCTGCTGTGTCTTCGGGTCTATCACTCAATGGCAGAGAGTGCATGGTCAGCATGACAAACGGCAGGCTTGCTGAAGCCAGTATCTACTTTGACATCGACATGTACGACTCCTGCCAAGTCCTCATGATCACTCCTCACATGGGTGTTGCTATTATACCGGTCGACGTCGACGAAGGAACGTACACAAGAGTTGGGGTGGTCTCGGTCTACAGAATCTTTGACGCCGGCAGCGACACTCGAAGTCGCGGTAGGCGGGCACACGAGAACCGCGACAGGTCGATTTCGGCGTCTCACTACCCAAGTCCGGAGATCATCACCCTGCTGTAAGGCTCGGGGGTCAAGAAGGTTGGCCTGTATATGAAATGGAAATTAGAAGCCGTTGGTATGTTGCAGGAGTAGCTCCCGTTTAGTTAGGTCTATCAAGTCGACATGTTCAACAATAGCGCGACTCACAATCATTGGGCTAGACGAAGCAGATCATGAAAGAGTCTGTCTACATTATCATTTACTGTCTAGCCACTTCGAAATGCTCACCCAGTACGATATCAACAGCCTGTTCGGCAATTGCGTAGACTGGTACCTGATAATGAGCCGCAAGAGGCTTTGGAATGACACTCGCATCAGCGACACGCAAGTTCTTGACCCCAGACACCCTCAGCGATCCATCAACAACGGTCCCCATCGCTGCTGTCCCTGCAGGATGATAGGTGGTACTCGCGCCCATCTTGAGTCTCGCGTCGATTTCTTCGTCCGACTTCCCCGGATAGCCTGGCGGAATGTGTTCACATTCGACAAGCATCTTACCCTCGGCTGTATCCAACATCAGCTCGGACTGCATACGGAAACCCTCGCGCAAGACGCAGCGATCTGCTTCCGTGGCGCAGTAGTTTGGGTCGATGATAGGATTCGCGGACGGGTCAGACGATGCAAGCGTCACCGAGCCTCGCGACGTCGGAAGACAGCCCATGAAAAAGGTCATGATGGATGATCCGTCAATCGGAATACTAAGACCCTGCGCCTCTGCTCCGACGGCAATGTACATGAGAAGCATCTCGAGGTGAGTGCGTGGGCCATTAAGCAGTGGGTGGTCATCAGATACCGGGCCCTCATCGCGCTCGATGGCTGCCTTCAGTGTCCCGACTTGGTGTATAGGCGCGCGAACCAAGAAGTCTAGCGGCCCCCCTCTGTCGTAATTTGGACCACCGAAGAGCGGCGAGCCGATCGCTAGACCCTTTTCTGGGTTTCGCAGCTTCCAATAACGGTACATCATCAGATGATCATGCAGATTCCGGCCGACGGCTGGTAGGTTAGATACAACCGGAATGTTGTGCTGCGATAGCTGGGAAGGCTCTCCAATGCCAGAGAGCATCAAGACTTGGGGCGTTCGGTAGGCGCCCGCGGTTATGACGACTTGGCCGCCTTCGTTGAGACCAATGCGTTCGCCATCTGTGAGCTCTACGCCGACTGCCGTATTCGTATCGTCGAATAGCACACGCCGGACGATGGTTGATGTGCGCACTTGGACACCGTGCAACGGGTATACGGAGTGCGCCATCTGCCGTTTGCCATCCTGGAAGTTCTCAACCAGATCGCTGATGCCTTGAGGTCGGCCGTCGTTCAGGTCATGGATATGTGGTATGTCGAGGTTCGACCAAAGCTTATGGACGGTTTCGCGCAATGGGTATATACGGCCGGTAGAGGTGACGGATGCCGTGTGCATCGGACCGTCGTGCCCATGCTGCGAGGGATCCGCATCGGGGTCGAAGTGCCTTTCCGTGCGCTTGAAGTATGGCAATAGGCCGTCGTAGCTCCATCGCGGATCGTCAACATCGCGTGCCCACTCATCATAGTCCTGTGCATCGCCTCGAATCCATCCACCTAATACAGTCAGCTGATTGCGCGCACCTGCAGTCACCATATGTACCGTTGTTGATAACGCTGCCGCCGCCAAGGCCTCTAAAGCCTACATTTCGCTTGGGCTTCCCATCGAGATGCTCTTGAGGTGTTGTAGAGTAGTTGTAGTCGTACTGGGAGAAGTGGAGGTTCGCGGCCGCGGCTGGTATGGTAACATGTGGATTCCCAGTAGGATCGGGACCGGCTTCAATGAGTACAATGGATAGCGATGGCTTCCTCTCGTGCAGACGCGAAGCGACTACGGTGCCAGCGATTCCGCCGCCTACGATGATGACGTCGGCCATTGCAGACTCAGCTTGTCCACAGTGCGAGGAAGCGGGTCGGAAATGCCACTGAATCAGCTATATATACGGTGTAGCTCGCATTATAGCACTTGAAATAGGCGGGGCGTATGGGCGTATGGGCGTATGCAGTCAGCCGCAGCGATCCAATCATACATTCCGTTGTCACGGCGTAGCCCACATCGATGTGCACGACAGGCCAAGAGACATTGGTCAGCCGATCCATCGGTATCTTCTAACAGCCTGTTATCATATCCATCGCCCTTCCTTGTCCGCGGCTTCGGCCGGTACTACGATGTTGTGTAGGAGGATCGGCCGGTCAGGTACGCTGAGACCAAAGACGGGACGTGTGTATCGCGGAGGGCGGTGAAGTGTCGGTACACGAGACATCGCGTGATGTGAAGTATAGGACTTTGCTCGCATGTGCCGCTTCGAAGTTGATTGCCCTTACTATGTGTTCACAAAGTCAGCAAACAGCTGAGCAATAAGAGTGAGTGTCTTGAGCTGGAACGACGTGTCAGCGTCCCACGCGCGGGCAGCGGATACCATGCCGTCGATGTTTTACTGGTAATTGCCCGACTTCCTCTGCGGCCTGGTCCAATAGTGTCCATGTTGGCAAGGGGGCTTAAGTTGCTGTGCGGTAGAGGTACCAGGTGTGCTATCGGAATTATGCCTGAGGCAACCGCAAGATCCCTATTGCTCTGGCTGAAGGTTTGAATCGCGTCGGAGTAACATTGTGGAAGCCGTGTGCCGTCTCAGGTCTGGGTGGCATTGACATGCAGGGCGACTGTGTTCGTGTTGAGAGCGACACAATGTTTGACTAGCCGGATGACGCATCGGAGCTACATAACGCCGCGCCGCGTGTTCTGCCAGGCACACGCTACCCCGTCAACACCTCATCTTCATCCCCCCATCCAGCTCCTCTTCAAGGAGAACGACGATCGAGTATCCATAATAGCTGTCGGTACCTTCACAAAATAACGCTGTGGTCGAGTGTTCATGCGCGTGACGTTCGCGTCCTCAACTTGCGCAGTCGGGAACGCGACCCAGGCTTGAGCTCCGACGATACCGCGTAGCGCATGCTTCGCTCGGTACACTCTCGATATCGAATACAAAGCCCGCTGCGTACTTCGCTGTCTCGAAAACGCAGCTTGTCCGCAAGAATGTCCCGATACAAAGTCCGGCTCAGAACGACGTCCATTCTCTTCTAGGTTTCACCAGGTTTAAAGTCCATCAAAGCGGGTATCAAGGGCGTGCAGGGCATCACGCACGTTGCAGCCAACGCCAATCCCCCTCCCAAGCTTCCTGAGAGCTATGGGCTTAGACAACGTCGCATGGGTCCCGTAAACTGCAGCCGCGTCATTGCGATTATGTTCAGGCTCGACCGTGAGTAGCAATATACGCCGTACACTCGATACGGACCACCGACCATGATCCATGACAGACCCACATGGCCGCGGCAGTGCTGGTGCTGGGTCGGTGAAACGTGAACGGATCTTCCCGAGCCCATATTCGGATTTCGATGGCGCTAAACTAGAACGCTGGTTAGTCAGCGTATCCGTATTCAACGCTTCAAGACCCTCTCGCCGCTATCCGTATTCCCGCCTCCACGTATTTCTTTTCATCGTCCTTTCGCCAATTACGTCGCATTCGCCAAAGTCCGCCATGGCTCCGCGTAAGGTTCTGAGAAGATCGCATCGCAAATCTAGGAACGGTTGTCAAGAGTGCAAGAGACGCCACATCAAGGTACGCGACGGCATCGTGAGCGCGGGTACCTGCATCTGCTCGCGTAGCATTAGGGAATAAACCATACTGATCGTTCTAGTGCGATGAGGCGCAGCCCACGTGCGAGAATTGCGCGCGCGATGATCGTACATGCACGTACTCAAGGCCACCAGACCCATCTCAACGCGCGGTATCCAGCCAATCGCCATACGCGGTTCCCGAGACCACATCAGGATCTTACTTCGGAACTCCAACGTCGCATGGCGTGCCGAGTACTGTGGAACACAGCAGTACGGTGTCACCAGCCGTGACGTCTTCCGTGGACCTGTCTTTCCTCTCTCCGGCGGCGTCGTCACCGCATGGCTCGGACCTCTCTTTCAGCTTGCGACATATGCAGTTGCTCAGCCACTTCATCTACGAGACGTTGCCAAGCCTCGCAGAAACAGGGTCGATAGACGACACGCAAGCACGTGCTCTTATGCCAGCGATTCTGTCAGAGCCATATGCCATGTACCAAGTTCTGGCCCTCTCCGCCATGCACATGAGCTACCAACACCCTGAAGAAGCAGACCGACATCGCGAGGAGGCTAGAGCTCTCCAAACTCAGGCGTTATGCACCTTCAATAGTGCACATATCGAAGTCACGCCAGATAACCTTGTGTCTATCATGTCATTCTCCACCATGACTGGCTTGCACGCCCTTTCAGAAGTCGCTGGGAATGCCGAAGTGGGACCGGGTGGAGTCCTGGATGGATTCGTCACGTACATGAACTTGCATCGAGGAGTTCGAGCCATCATATCGCAATCCTGGGGATTCTTGAACCAGACCAGCGTTGCTCCTCTTTTCGAGCGAAGCACGAGTGCCATTCATCATGCCATATGTTCGAACGGACAAACAGCAGTAGCAGTGGCGGAGCGCCTGTCAAACTTACTGGACCATGCGGATATGAGCGAGGAATCTCGACAGACTTGCAGTGTGGCTGCATCTGAGCTGACAGTCGTATACCAGACAGAGCCTGACGTGGAAAAGCCGTCAAATCAGCCGCCTGGAACTGGTTTAATCTGGGTGTTTCCAATTAATCTCTCGAGCGAGTTTACGGCACTTTTGTCTATGCGCAAACCGGAAGCGCTCATTATTCTGGCCCACTACGCGGTTCTTTTGCATCGTAGACGCCGGGTGTGGCTGGTCGGCAACGTCGGCAGAGTACTAATCGAAGAGATTTCGAGATTCTTGGGCAGCTTCTGGAAAACTTGGCTCGACTGGCCGAACGAGGTACTTTTGCAACCCTAGCGCGATACGTAGCCAACCAGCGAATACGTCGTATACCATGACTCGTATTCGTCCCCATCCACGCATCGACCACCAAGCGGACTCGCCTGTCGTACCAGAGTACCTACAGTAGGCAT